TGCATTGAGAACATTTGTAGAAAACCTTAAATTCTAACGACTCTATCGATTATTACTGGCAGGAAACAAGGTGAATATTTCAAAATGCAGGCGGTTGAATACAATCCGACATTTCAACAATAGCTGTTATAGTTTTTCACTTTACTACGAAAGCCATTCCTCATCGAAATGATTCTCTGGTACATTTCTGACATTTATTGATCACGACATGTTCAATTTATTCATTTCAATCATCAGGAGACCCGTTTGTATATTATTACGAAGCGTCATCCTTTATGTCATCCGGATGTAATATCTTTATCAGTCCGAAGCATATCTTATATAACCGAAAGACGTTTATAAAACTCGTGAAATTATTAAAACTCAGTTCTTTCATTAAGATAAGTATTTTTATGTTTTGAGCTACTGACTTGTTTGTTTTAAGATTCTTTGGATCTAATAGCTGCGTAAACGCAAGCGAAACATAAGTGGAACCACCTATTGGTGTAACACTCAAGTCAACTTGCCAAGTTTTTATGTCAGTGTTGGTGGCTTGACCAATCAACCGACAACTGCGTTTGCGCAGTTATTTTAATCAAGTATTTTTTTGGTTATTCACATTTGTCTTCAATCGGGGACTGCCTGCTCGGTACTGACGATGCCCAACAGGCTGAAACAGCTATCTACCGGTGGCTCTTGAATTGAAATCATTATTGAAATGAACAGAATAGTACTTATCAATTTTTTTTTTCTTAATGGAATTATTTTTCAGCAGCTTGACAGCAATAATCTTTCTCGATTTCATATCATTTCTAGAAACATGTGGATTCGTTTTCCGATGGCATTCCCCAAGATGGCTTCCCCAATTTCTGTTTCCACAGTTTTCGGTTTATTGGTCAAACCACCAACACTGACATAAAAACTTGGCAAGTTGACTTGGGTGTTAAATCAATAGGTGGTTCCACTTATGTCTTGCTTGCGTTTACGCGAATTGTCCACCGGTTTCGGGGATAGTTCGTTTGCCGTCTAAAAGCGCGACCCACACCGAGATCGTGAAAGTCAAGTTCTGTGAACAGTGCGGTACAAAGAAATCTAATGAGGCGATAGACATTTGAATAATGGTTGAAGTTTTAGTTGAAGTGTTTGGTTGTGTCAACAGTGAAATAAAGTTGAGTCTGATTATTGTGCAGTGTAGTCAATTATTATTATTCCCACGAGAAAAAAGTAACATTATTATAAATCCATTCAATTCAATTATAATCTCATCGAGTTCTTTTCGATTTCCGGTTAAATAATTTCGAGGCATCGAAACAAGTCCTTATTCGTGACCTCTACGAGTTCCCTCTTGATGTGGAAAACATCACGATCCAATTCGTTTCTTTAAATATTGAACATAATACGTCGATATGGCGTAAGTCAACACAAAAACGAGAAATTCATTTTGTTGACGACCAAAGTTCGGAAATGAGATGGAGTTTAATAAAATAAACAAAAGTAATTTTCGTTTCTCTTTGAATTTTCAAGCGATAATTTGATATTGGTTCGATATGAACTTTGGTCTCAAGGAAATTGTATAATTCGTTTTCTGTAAACGAGGAGACTGTTTCGTACACGTACAGTGAGTTTTATGTTTTGGTATCAATACAATATTTGAACCCCCATTTTTCCCCCTTGGAGGTGGAAATTTCTGATTCCCTTTCTTAATGCTTCTTTACGCTATACAAAGAACCTACCTGCATATTTCAAGATTCTAGATTTAGTAGCTTCAGCTGTACGTTAATATAAGGGCGGGAAATAGCTAGTAATCTATATTTTTACAGTAATACAGTAACTAAAAAAATATGCCAATTGCAATAAGTAAGGAATAGCTTCGAGAATCAAATTATGTTACCTATAAGACATCCGCAAAAATAACAGGACCGTCAACGACGTCTACCCTCACGCGTCTGCACGTGTTCGGGTCGCGTTCTCGCCGATGGCGCCTCATTGCTCAGACCTCCCCTCCACCCCCTCGCATCGTTCACCGTTGTCTTACAGTAGGCGCGACGCGCAATGGCTTATCGCGTTGCGATAATTTAATATTATCGTGATAACTTTTAAAAGACTCGTCCAAATTAGTCAGTGTGAAAGACAAAGTTAATCTATTTCAAATACGTAAAACTACAATTTAACAGATATTCTATAATATGAATTGTAAAAAAAGTATAGAATATAATTGTATTTGTGTGCATATAGTGGCTACCACATAAGAGGAAGATATATGCTATTGCGGAGTTTTATTTAGAACTATTCAAGATAAACTATCTCACGGTACATTATCTGCATGCAACTCCAACTGTATAGGCAGCGCATGCCAAGAATTTTTCCGACATAATATATAATGACCAAAATTACACAAAACCTATAGCTATGTCATTCTGATGTATTATCTGTATTTATGTAAAGTTTCATCTAAATACGCTCAGTCGTTTAGGCGCGAAAGAGCCACATACATACATACATTACTTCACAAATTTTCACATTTATAATATTAGTATAGATAATAATCTGTTAATTTATAACATGTACAAATTGAATTGTGTTTGCTGATGACACTACTTTTATTTGCCCAGCAAAATCAATGAGTGATCTGAATGAAAGTGTTTGCAAGGAATTGGTTCCATCAAGAGTTTGTTTTTCAAGAAATATACCGAGATTGAACGAAGGGAAAACTCAAAAGTTTAATAGTTTTATCAAACCAGAAATATCAAAAAGGAAAAAAATTCCCAGGAATCACTATTGATGACAGATTGAATTGGTCAGAAATCAATTCGAACGTATAAAAACGTCTCCTCATACGCGGATACAACTTGATCACCTCACAAATTCGCATTTTTTAGATGCCAGAAAAAGGATGTGCTAATTCTGGTTGACATTGGTTATGGAGATACGAGTAATTGTCACAAATATTTCGTCAAATTTGTAGTAGGGCCATTACTAACAATGCTATTTATACTGTTTCATTAGAAATACATTCGCATGTTGCAAATCATTTTTAAACATTTAGATATCAGTATTTTTAATTGTTTTAAGGATAAAGCACAAGTACTACAGGAAAATCCTTAAGGCGCTCTAAGAGCGGTGCCTGTTCTTCCCACCCTAAATAAATCATTCGATTTCAAAACAATTCAAGAGTAATGAAGAAACACCTCCTTTACCAATATTTTCATTCTCTATATATATTTATGTTCAGTAATTGAAGTTTGGCCCTTTCCTTTTGACGGATTGATCTGATATTTGGTACACACATTTAGTTTTGATGACAATACAATTCAATAAATTTTGTATCATTGTGAATCCAAGATCATTGTAGTTACAAAATGGTGGATAGCATATTGTTTCACAACTACCTCGATATGAGTATCAAGTAGCAGGGCTTGACTAGTAGAATAGTAGTAAACTTCGAAAAAGATGCAAATTCAAGATGCTATTTTATTATAAACGTGACTAATTACTGTCTTATTTTAATAACATATATTACTTTTACTATTATGAAGTATGCTATTTTCTATGTACCTGACGATTTCTATACGTGTGATACTGAGTCATTTAATGAACTAAACAGAATGAGGAGAATTGAGTAACAAGATTTGAAACTAAAAACTTGTGAATAAATGAATACTTTGTCAGAGGAATGTCTGCAGCTCCAGCTGATCGAGAATTGATTAGATGATATTCAAACAATAAATATCAGACAGCTGGTCATTTTCATTTCCAGTATGTCATCGAAGACAAAACCCAAAAAACATTGTATAGTCTCTAGTCCGATGCTCAAGGATCCGACGGTATTAACTTGAAACTTATGTGAACTTACCGGTGATCGGCGTCGATCACCGGTAAACATGTGTGCCAGGTCCCTTAGGCTAATTGCACACACACCGATTGTGGACGGCCGATTTTATACCGGTCGTCCAGATTCCAATAGTGAACCACATGTAGGAACGGGACCTTGCACACATACCTACCGGTGATCGACGCCGATCACTGGCAATTAGCGTAACGCCTATTAGCATTCTTCCGGCATTCTTCAGAAAGGAAAATAGATCATCAATTGAGACAATACGTACTGCAGTGTAACGTTTTACCTGAATGCCAATCTGGATTTCGAGGAGGGTATAGTTGTGAAACAGCTTTGTTGAATATTACCGATTCTCTCTTGACAGGAATTGATAGGAGAAAAGCAACACTTTTGATACTCTTAGATTTTTCTAAGGCCTTTGACACTTTGGACTATGCGTTGCTTCTAAGCAAATTAAAATTCATTGGTTTATCAGAACATACTATTTCCTTTTTTAGAGCTTAGTTGTATGGTCGTTATCAAAGATTTATTATTATTATCATCACTTGAATTATCGAGTGGTGTCCCTCAAGGTTCAATAATTGGCCCACTCTTATTTGCAATCTACACTTTCACATAAAAAACTCTATCCGTTACTGTGAAATTGATTTTTATGCAGATGGTACGCAGTTGAATTATTCCTTTCTACCCTCAGACGTTTGTGTCGCTATTGAAAAAATAAATGAAGATATTTCCTCTCTCATGAAGGTTTCACAAAAACATTCATTGAAAGTGAACACTGAAAAGAACACAGTGATATTGTTCGAATCACGTACTCATAGACACTTACTAGAAAATTCCATAAGATTAAACGTAGCAAACACTGATATAACACCTGTTAAAACAGCAAGAAACTTGAGAATGATCTTCGACGATAATTTACGATTTAAAACACATGTGAAAAATAATCGTCGTTTAGCATTCATGAATTTGAAACTTATATATGGTAATCGACATTACTTAAGCAGAAATGTGAAAGCGATACTTTGTGATTCATTGATGCTTTCAAGGTTCAACTACTGCTCATTGAATTATGGGCCATGTTTAGACCACGAAGACAAACGACGAATACCAATTATGCATCTTGTCATTTCAACATTATATTTCGTCATAAACATGCAATTTAAATATATATTTTTTTCAGTATGCCCAAGAGAGCCAACACGAAAAAATACTCCGCGGTCTCGCCGTCGGCATCAGCTTCACGATGTACGGACGTTTGGAGGAAGCCGACGCTCTCATCCAACAGCTCTCTTCCGACAAGGATCCCATCCTCAGGCGGTCGGGCATGTACACTATCGCCATGGCTTACTGCGGCACCGGACACAACCAGGCGATCAGGAAGCTGCTCCACGTTGCTGTAAGTATAACGCATTCGTTTGTTTCCTGCTTTATCGTTTCGGTTTTGAAACGCTCAATGAATTGTGAGCTTTAGAGCAGGGAAGAGATTCGTTGGAATTGGGTTCTACTCGATAAATAATTGTATTCTTTAAAAAACTTAACTGATAAAAACTTGCGACGCGACGTTGTATCGAAAATATGTGTTTAGGCCCAGGAAACATGGAAAATATGGAAATTAGTCATGGAATAATTCTATTTTTTTTCCAAGCAAATACATGAATTGAAAGATGTTTCAAGCTCAACTTTAATATTCTAGAACAAAAACACTCAGTATCCACAATTCCATCTTTTAATATTTCAAGTTCATAGACATCAAAATTGATACTACCACAGGATATAGAAATATAAAACAATTTCCAAACACGCAACGTTGCACGGGTGCGTATTAAGCATTTCACCCTAGTACGATGACCCGAGTAAAGTTGCAATCTCGGCATATACAGGCTGATTCACGGTGGATGGCACATTAGACGTTTCTGGTGAACCAGACAACGGATCACTTTGAAAATTTTATATATTTATGTTCAGTAATTGAAGTTTGGCCCCTTCCTTTTGACGGATTGATCTGCTATTTGGTACACACATTTAGTTTTGATGACAATACAATTCAATAAATTTTGTATCATTGTGAATCCAAGATCATTGTAGTTACAAAATGGCGAATTACGCCATTACGGATTATCTTGTGATACTGAGTCATTTAATGAACTAAACAGAATGAGGAGAATTGAGTAACAAGATTTGAAACTAAAAACTTGAAAATAAAATAAGTAGAAAAAATATTTGTTATACGGTTTTATTGAAAAAAAAAGATAATAATCATGTGGATAATATACTAAAAACTGAAAAATAATTCGGAAGATCCTAGGTAGCAGTCATCGAACCACACTCCTCAGAAATCTACGGTATTGATCAGATAAAAATTTAATTATATCGTTGAGCGTAGTATTTACATATTTACTCAGATTGCTGAGGAGAGTGGTGTGATGACTGCTACCTAGGACCTCCCAAATAATGTTTTAGGTGTCAGTACATTTTCTACATCATTATTATCATTTTTTGTTTCGATAAAACCGTACAGCATAAAAAAATTTTTATTCCCTTTCATACATCCATAACTTCTTTCAGATATGTTCGTAAATTGTCATGACTTTTATGCATTCTTGGTACATGTATATTTGAGTATATGTAACACATTGAATCAATTTTATTTTATATGTAACATGTATTAACTTTTGGCTATATAGTGATATGTTTTATGACCTGCCATAAATGTAACTGTACATAAGGTGGCGTTTTATAAATGAAAATTACAGGAAAGTGGCATAATAACACTATTTTCCTTGAAGTTGAGAAATCAAATATGATCGAATACTGAAACATTTCAGTTCAACATCTAAAGTTATATTGTCGTTGAAATTGGGAATTTTTCAAAACTCAGTTCAGTTGAAACTCTTCTCATTGTTCAGCCATCGTCAAATTACAGATCGATTACCATATTATTAAATGTTTTTAAGGTATTTTGAAAGATTCAGAGAAAGCTTATATGTATTTAGGTTTTGTAGAGTAGTGTGTAATGCTCAGATCAGCATCATTCAAATATGGTCCTATACAACTTCGTCTGATAAAAATTAGTCCTATAATTTTGTGTGAAAAAGGTAAAACGTATTCTCAACTGATGTTTTTCCTTCTTCCTTCTTTCAGTCATAATGATTCTTCATTATAAGAAAGTGTCTCTCTCACACTTTGCTATCGTCTCCTATGGTCTCCTAAGTTTCGAGTAGGTAGTATTTTTTTTCATTCTATGTATTTTCTCAAAAAAGTGTTCAGTGACACCAGATGTTTTTGGTGTACAAAATTGGATGAGTGCGCTTGTTTTTCGAAATGATCCTACAAAAACACATTGATAGATAGTAGCAATTATGGAACGATCTTCGCTGCCACATGCTTCATGCCCAAAATTTTCGAAATAATTTTATGGCATGGGCCAATGGAGGGATCTTTGAAATTTAGAAATTAAAAAAAATCAACAAAATTCACCCCCTAATCTGACCAATGTGAGTGAAATAAATGAATACTGATCGAGAATTAATTAGATATTCAAACAATAAACATCAGACAGCTGGTCATTTTCATTTCCAGTATGTCATCGAAGACAAAACCCAAAAAACATTGTATAGTCTCTAGTCCAATGCTCAAGGATCCGACGGTATTAACTTGAAACTTATGTGAACTTACCGGTGATCGGCGTCGATCACCGGTAAGCATGTGTGCCAGGTCCCTTAGGCTAATTGCACACACCGATTGTGGACGGCCGATTTTATACCGGTCGTCCAGATTCCAATAGTGAATCACATGTAGGAACGGGACCTTGTACACATACCAACCGGGGATCGACGCCGATCACTGGCAATTAGCGTAAGGCCTATTAGCATTCTTCCGGTACTGTCTTGAAGTATCAGAAAGGGAAATAGATCATCAATTGAGACAATACGTATTGCAAAGTAACATTTTACCCGAATGCCAATCTGGATTTCGAGGAGGGTATAGTTGTGAAACAGCTTTGTTGCATATTACCGATTCTCTCTTGACAGGAATTGATAGGAGAAAATCAACACTTTTGATACTCTTAGATTTTTCTAAGGCCTTTGACACTTTGGACTATGCATTGCTTCTAAGCAAATTAAAATTCATTGGTTTATCAGAACACACTATTTCCTTTTTTAGAGCTTACTTGTATGGTCGTTATCAAAGATTTATTATTATTATCATCACTAGAATTATCGAGTGGTGTCCCTCAAGGTCCAATAATTGGCCCACTCTTATTTGCACTCTACACTTTCACATAAAAAACTCTATCCGTTACTATGAAATTGAATTATTCCTTTCTACCCTCAGACGTTTGTGTCGATATTGAAAAAATAAATGAAGATATTTTCTCTCTCATGAAGGTTTCACAAAAACATTCATTGAAAGTGAACACTGAAAAGAACACAGTCATATTGTTCGGATCACGTACTCATAGACACTTACTAGAAAATTTCATAAGATTAAACGTAGCAAACACTGATATAACACTTGTTAAAACAGCAAGAAACTTGGGAATGATCTTCGACGATGATTTCAACATTATATTTCGTCATAAACATGCAATTTAAATATATATTTTTTTCAGTATGCCCAAGAGAGCCAACACGAAAAAATACTCCGCGGTCTCGCCGTCGGCATCAGTTTCACGATGTACGGACGTTTGGAGGAAGCCGACGCTCTCATCCAACAGCTCTCTTCCGACAAGGATCCCATCCTCAGGCGGTCGGGCATGTACACTATCGCCATGGCTTACTGCGGCACCGGACACAACCAGGCGATCAGGAAGCTGCTCCACGTTGCTGTAAGTATAACGCATTCGTTTGTTTCCTGCTTTATCTTTTCGGTTTTGTTGACTCGCGCTGAATGAATTGTGAGTTTTAGAACAGGGAAAAGATTCGTTGGAATTGGGTTCTACTCGATAAATAACTGTATTCTTTAAAAAACTTGAATAACTGATAAAGACTTGCGACGCGACGTTGTATCGAAAATATGTGTTTAGGCTCAGGAAACACTGTCAAATATGGAAATAAGTCATGGAATCATTCAAATTTTTTCCAAGCAAATACATGAATTGAAAGATGTTTCAACCTCTACTTCAATATTCTTGAAGAAAAACACTCAGTATCCACAATTCCATCTTTTAATATTTCAAGTTCATAGACATCAAAATTGATACTATTACAGGATATAGAAATATAAAACAATCTCCAAACACGCAACGTTGCACGGGTGCGTATTAAGCATTTCACCCTAGTACGGTGACCCGAGCAAAGTTGCAATCTCGGCATATATGAATCTTAATAAATATTGCGGAAGGTCAAGATCACAAAGAGAAAGTATTGAGTACTCAGTATTCATTGATCACTCTTCAAAAACGGTTGCAGAGCATTTGTAATGCAGCACATCTCCTTTTCTTCTATCCTGCTGGGTAGCAGGATGAATGAGGGTTGGATGAAACAGCGATAAATCTTCTCGTAATAAGCAAAGCGAGTTCTAAGTGGCGACAATACTAGTGAAGTTCGACTTGATCTTCTTGTACACGATGGTTGCCGTCAAAGAAACTATACAACTGATTAGTTAGGGATTCGCTTCCAAAGTAATGAGTATAGAGAAACCCAATTCGAGCGAGAAATACGACCAAGCAAGAGAATGTTGAAGCAACTTCAAATAAGCCTAGCATTGGAAGAGCGTTCCTGCAGTGTGCCATGAATTTTCTGTAATCGATTGGAGAAATTCTGAAGAGAAACAACGTGAATTCAGTACTCAGGCCAACAAAGATTTAAAAAAAAGAATCTATGGTCATCTAAGAATTCCGAAATGTCCTTAGGAACACCAGAAGTATACTGGATCCCTTGTGGCTGTGGATTGGTTTACATTGGAATCACGATGAGGGGTCTAAGTACTCTACTCTCTGAACACGATAAAAATTGTTTCCTGAGGCATAGCGATAAATCAGCAGCAGCGGAACATGCACTCTAAAGTCGGTACCCACGGTATCGCATGTGAAGAGAGCCAAGTAATTGATTGAACTACCCAACACTATATAGTGAAGCGATAGAAATTCAAAAACATCGTTGAAATATGTTTGTCTGCAGTAAGTTATACATCTGAAATAAAGTCATTCAATTCGATCAATAGAAAACAAAACATCGCCCACCACCAAAGGTATATGTCAGATATTCAAGCCTTTGATATAGTATATGCGTTGAGAATAAACAGAAATAATGAAGCGAGTCAAAAACGAATGAGAGAGATACATTTCTGGATCTATTCTATGTACTGGAACCCAAGAAAACACAAAAATTTCTGGATCTATTCTATATATTGGAAACCAAGAAAACACAAAAATTTTGAAAAAATGTATTTAATCTTCAACTTCAAATGTCGGACTTCCATTGTCTAATATAATGTAAATTGATTTGAAATTTTTGAAAAAATATTGAAAAAATTACCTGAAAATAACAATTTTATTGGACAAAAAACTGAAATTACAAAGAAATAACATAAAACCGAACAACAACCAAAAAAATAAAAAAATTAAATAATGATAAAAGCTGAAAATAAAAATTATCATATCATTTCCCCCACTCCCTTTTGAGCCAGAACTCTCTTTGTTTATCTACTACAGCCTTGCAGCTGTATAAACTTTTCCCGGCGACGTTCAATAAGTTAGATACCGATTCTATAATAGGACTGTATTGCTTCTCAAAAAAGTCATTAACTGCCGACATAACTTCCTCATCGTTGGAAAATCTTTGACCACTGAGCCATTATTTCAAGTTTGGGAACAGAAAATAATCTGAGGGGGCTCAATCTGGCGGAAAAGGGACATGACGTAGCAATTCAAACTTTAGTTCGTCAATTTTGGTCATTGCGATAATGGATTTGTGAGCCGGTGCATTGTCTTGATGAAACAACACCTTTTTCTTAGCAGCTGCTGCTGTTTCTGCTTGATTTCTTCACTCACACGTTGCACTAAGTTCGTATAATACTCGTCGTTGATAGTTTTACCTTTTTTAAGATAGTCAATGAAAATCATCCCACGCGCATCCCAAACAACCGATGTCATGACCTTGCCTGCAGATGAAACGGTCTACGCCTTCTGGTTCTCCTTTTTGAGTCCACTGTTTTGATTGTTCTTTTGTTTTGGGTGTAAAGTGATGGACCCATGTTTCAACTATGGTTATGAAACGACAATTCTGATTTGTTGCTGTGAAGCTTATTTTTACGACACGGTTTTCGCTAGAGTGTGAGCAAACGCGGCACATGTCTTGCACACAGCTTTCTCATGTTCAAATGTTCAGATAATATACGATGTACCTCACTTGAAATGCCTACTAAGTCTGCTAGCTCGCGCACTTTCAGTCGACGGTCATTCAGTACCGCTTTGTGGATTTTCCTCACCGTTTCTGGAGTCGTCATTTGGTCGACCACGGCGATGCTCGTCTTGGCAGCTCGTACAGCCTCGTATCCAATATTTTACTGTTGTAAACGAAGAAGCAAACTCACCCAGCTTTTATAATGGTTGGGCTGAGGCCTTTGAAATAAAAGTATTGTACCACATAACAATGACCAATTTTCTCCATTTCCACAAAATTACCGAATACATTCGCTATCGATGGCTGCCGAACAAATACTAAACAACGCAGCGTCTTCAAATTTGGAACATATGCTTTATATATTGGGTACTTTCTAATACAGTAATATTTTTTCACACAACTACGGCCATCTCTAGGTCAGGTCGGGTCAGGGACTAGCTTCGCGAGTGACGTTATCTTCTGACTGGGGCCGCTGTATCTTATCTGACTCAAGTCCCCTGCATTTTTCCCATACTTCGCCCCCAGTCCTCGCTCCAGTTTCTGAATTGGTCTCCAGTTCTCGTCTAGATCTCCGGTTCCCGTCTCGATCTCCGGTCCTCTACTTAGTCTCCGGTCTTAGTCCCTATCTCTGGTTTCTAACTCAGTCTCCTTTTCCCGAATCGATGCCAGCTTTCTGTGTCCTGTCTGGTTTCCTTCTGAAGTGAAGTATATATTTCATGTTTTCTGGATAAGTACTAGTTATAAAACACTATGGTTTTTCCAAACGAATATTTGACACATTGAAAAAGAATGATAATGGAAAAATAGTCGTTTTCCTTTCTAACTCATACATTTTTCCCGTTTTCTAAACGAAAACAGTGGTATCCGAAACTCTCCTTTCCTACCTGTTTACTTAAATGCCAAAGTTCACTCAACAACGCAAAAATTTGAAATTATTCAAGAATCAACCGTTGTAAACTTTTCTGCTAGAAATGTAATGGCTGAAACTTTCCTATTGTCGAACCTGAAGAATTCGTGTATTTGCCTCGTTGAAACTCCGCTTATGAATCGATAAGAAGTATTGACGAGTTATTGCGATCTTGAACTTTGTGAGGGGGTTTTAAAACGTTCGACGGCAAACAAGGTCGATGTATATTTAGAAGATGTGCTTATTTTTTGTTGGTAGCAAAAAAAATTCGTGAAATTGCTGAGAAGCCAGCGAGCGATTGTGTTTCGCCGGTTTTTGTTGTCAAAAATATGTTGAACTAACGATCGTCTTGAGTTTTTAAAAATATTGGATTCAGATTATTCATAAACGTTTTGTGTTTTTAAAGTGATAACTTTTCCCTTTCTGTCATGCATACGTCAGCGGAAGGCAGGCCCCTCCTCTCGTCGGACAGACTATCAGTGTTTAGTGTGCGTTAGACATGATGCTAATAGTATTATCTAACCAGCAAGCTAATTTAATTAGATCATTATCAATTGGTGAAATGGTCTAATAAACCGAAACCAGCCTTAACAAATGATGAACTAAGTAGAAACTAGACAAAAGTTTTCTTTATTCTATATTCAATATGAATTTCTACAAAATGAATAGGTCATACATCGAACAAGATTTTTCATATCTTAGATTCATTCCCGGTTAAGGAGTGACTTTGAAATTTCCCATAGAGTTCTTTCCAGAAAGAAGAATGATATAACCAGTAGGCTCTCTTACCACGTGATCCGTCCGAGTTGCCGGGGACCTTCAACTGCTCCTAGGATGAGATTCTCATCCAACGCGTTCAGTGCTGTGGTATCGAAGGATTCGACGGTACCACTGGCATCGGATTAGTTACAACAAACGGTCGAAAATTGATATTGTGTTTAGTTTATTCGCTGTTGTTATTATTGTTTTTAGTTTTTGTAGCTGGTTATTAGTAACTTACCACAAAATCTTCTATGATATCCCTAAATTTCGTTTTCATATGAGCGCACGCCTATGACACAAGAACGAAATTGGCTCCGCACTTCGTTTCGAGACCATTGGGAACTTATGAATGAATTTATGAATGAAAGTTGTGGGAGAGGACTTACTGATTTTTTACTATGGCTTACCTCTCTTCTTTAGTGCTATCAAGTTACTGTCTTTTAAATGTCCAAGACACGGACATGAGGATTCATTACATCTTTACCAACAATTGCTATAATATCTCAAGGATCTAGAATGACGGTGACCTTGGGGAAAATAATTAAGTACAATTTGTAGAAAATTTTGGACAGTTACATTGCACTGGATACTAAAATTGAAGTACTGTCAAGACATTTTGTAGGGTTATAGTCATTAATATATTTCCATACTTTTTTATCAATTATCTCATTTTTTCTCAGTTTTAAGTTCATCCAATCTGGTGGCACCTCCTGACAAATTGACAGATGATATCTTCACCTCTACCTACTGCCTGTCCTATGACTATAAAACAGCTGTACTAAGTGTTTTATACCCAGAAAAAATTTAATGTCTCGTACACAGCAATTAGTGCAATGTGCGATTAACTTTTAGTGTAGATAGGCCAGCTATAGCAAAGGAAATAAACCGGTGAAACGGTTATAATAGCTGATTGAAGTGGTAAATCATTATTAAAATATGCATGACTTCAGATCTTCATTCTAAGATGAAAGAGAGAATGTTTACATTAGAAAAAGAAAATACGTGTGGAGTAACGAGATTGGAGAAGTAAAGAAAATTCCAAGGACTCAAATATTACATTTCTTGAAAGCCTTCGATTTCTTCTCTGAAAATGTATTCCTCGCGATACTGTATAAAGTTTACTAGACCGTTATGAAATTCTTTTTGATATGTTTTGATGTAATTCATTGAGAATCATCCAATTTCTGCTCTTCGTAATATATATGTATAAGGCACGAGCAAATAATGGAAAAAATTTGCAATATCGTCTCGTCTCGTAATGAAATTATAATTGGATACGACTGACGCCTTCTCTTTTCAACTGTTTCTTCTTAAGTTATAACCCGACAATATAAGAAGACGGGGCAATTTTCGTTCGTCGTTAAGGACGTTATCGAATGATTTTTAACGATGTAGGACGGATTTTCTTTGAAATAACGCTTGCTTTTTAATAAATCAGAAGCTTTCAAAAATGATAACTTCAGTTTTTAGCAGTGTTACGAAAATGAAATTCAAACTGTAGCAGAAAAACCACAACTTCCTTCCTAAGGTATATATTAAAAACTGCACAGAAAGACCGAAGAGAAATCTTGTTCGGCAGTCGATGCCAAAACTTTACTTTGCATATGACCGCTTTTGGAAACCTTGTTAATAATTGATATTTGTGGTTTCGCATGCGGAAGTTTTTTCCTTTCCTAAGGTTTCTAAAAAATATTGATGTTATCATGGATCCTCTGAAATTATTATTTCTTATAAATACTATGAATAAGTCTGTTTTAAAAGAGTAAAGTTAACAACATTGGTTTTTCCATACAATGAAATTCAAATTAGATAAATAATAATCAGAGATATCAACCTGCCTAGGAACCTATGCGACTTTATTTCAAGCAGAAATTTATCCTATTGAATTGTGTGTGGAGAGATTGGAAGAATCCAACCTCATACACAAGCTCGGGCAATCAAGTGGCGTTGGAAGCTCTTGGCTCCTACTGAGCCAACGTCTAAATTATTACCAAATTGCCAAAAACGACTCTCCTCGATAGGAAGACTTAACAGATTGTCTCTGGTCTGGATTCCTGGCCCTACTAGCCAGAAAGGCAATGATGCTGCTGACTCCCTTGCAAAGGAGGGTGCTGCAAGCAGCTTCATCGGACCAGAACCTGCCATTGGCATCGCTTTAGGTTTTGCCAAACAAAGTTCGAACACCTGGATGGCAAGAAGATTTATGGACTTCTGGCAGAATCTTCCAGGATTGGCTCACTTCAAGGAGTTTATTCACCCTTCGAAGCTTGATACCAAACAGTTGTTAGACTACAGTAGGGATGAACTACGATGTCCAACAGGCCTTCTTACAGGTCACTGTCATTTGAATCATCATATGCAGAGACTCGGACTGACGGAAGACAGTGTGTGTCGCTACTGTTTGGAAAATGATGAAACAGCACAGGACATACTTTGTACCTGCCCCGATGGGAACCGAATAAGGTTTTTAGAGTTCGACAGAGCCGTACTCTTACTATCTAACCTGAAAGATCACTCACCATACAAACTAATCGGCTTCGTTAAGAAGCTGGGTTTATTTGGGCGAGTGTGAATAGATGTGAGCTACAATAAACCCTTGCGGGTTGCTGTGGAGGGACGAATAAACCCACTCACTTTGGACCTAACCTAACCTGGATAATAACGGCGGACTATACAAGGCAACAAACGAAGCAGAAAGCGGGATTTAAAGAAGTGAAAAGTCCTAAAAAATTTGTCAATAGTTTTAGCGGAGTCAGAATTGTGAGAAGAATAAGACATAGAAGATTTTTTCGCACTTTTGTTAATCTATATGTGTCTCATTTTGTCCTATATAACAACACATTTGGTAATTATTGTTCACTTTTCGGTTTTTAGACCATTCAAGAAATTTTCGTAAAAACATTCTTGATCGAAGTTTCTATGACATTCATTCTGCAGGGGCTTTCAAATTATTTGGAAGATTTTGTATGATACATTTGTTTTTTCATAAATTAAATTGGAATTATTCAAATCATTACTGACTCACCATTACTTTTTTATTGTTTTATTTTTTTGGAAATAAGAGTGCAAATTAAATGAAATATATTTTTTTCCGGTAACTATCAAACGTCCCTCGTATGCATATTTTATTACTGTATCATTTTACTATGAGTTCTTTTTATTGGGTTTTTGGAAGGATGTGTTTAAATTACAGTTCCGCTCCTCATTTTTCATCCAATTCACTAGAACGCGAAAAGACGTTCTGATGAGTTTTCAAAAGAGAAAAATATACAACTTCTCGAAATAGTGAAATGAATGAAAATATCTTTGAAATGGTTTATGTTTGTCGGGTTCAGATAATATCGGTTCGTTTCTATTTCCTACCATTCATCAATAAAATACATTTGAACGAAAAGAAAAGTTCATTGAACTTTTGTTTTCAAAATCATTGAGAGATGAAAACACAGAAAATTATAAAAGTGTGCGTCTCGGGACACCCTACAGAAGTGATAACTCAAAATAATCTAAGTTGAACTATTCAATATTGAAATTGTTTAATTTGGGAAAAGCTCAAATTTTATGTATATTAGTATGCTGATTTTATTTAATAATAAAATATTTTATTGATTATTTTGTGTATGTAAATATATTAACTACCACAAGCCAATTGTTACTTTTGTAGGATAAAATAATGATACTAATAATGTTCATACACAAAATTAGTATCATCATTTTAAACCACATTTCACATAATGAAAGAAAATTACGTACTTGCTGGTTATATTTCTATAATACTGTCAACAGCACATGTCTAACGCACACTAAACACTGATCGTCTGTCCGACGAGAGAGGAGTAGTCTGCTTTCCGCTGACGTATACGTGAGAGAAACTGGTGCTGTAACGCGTTACGTAACGAATCGTTATACCCTTCTTAAGTAATTTTCACTTCAAAATGATTATTAATTATTTGGATGTAGATTCGGGAACAAATTAATAAAGAAATTATGCGGGGTTTTAGTGGAAAATGTTGATTTCTTACATTATTCTGATCTATTTCCATATATTGAAACAAAGTACACTTGATTTTTTTATCAGTATCATTATAAAACCCGTCTTCACTGAGTCTAGATTATTTCCATATGTTCCGTTACTGTATGCCTTTTTTTATCATCCATGCATGTAACTCTAAATCGTTTTATATTCGTGAATCGTACTTGACATATCTTTAAACTTTCCAACCTTTTTTGTTTTTCTCCAAGTTTGAGAAACGGTCATCGATGCGATGGAACTTTTTGACCTGTTCGTGCTACGCCTGAGATATTTTGAATTACAAAAAAGTAGCAAATATGATGCAACAAATCTATTGAGCGAATATGATCGATTGAGATACAGGGTGTAGCAGGGTGTTAGTTATTCGGCAGCTCCAGTAAGTGAAGCATTTTGAAAACTTGCAAATATTGATATGAAGACAACCTAATATACATTCATCCATGATAATGAAACAATTTTCACAGTCTCAGCTTCATTGAAGATACGTTTCGGTATACAGCATCTCCCTCAGTTGAACATTAAATCATTCCACAATGTATTTTATACAACACTAGTTACAGATATTATTTACTTAATAACGGCAATGGCGAATGTTCCTCCTGACGAAAATCAAGTAGTTTTCATAAAAGAGCTATAACACAACGCATTTTAAACTTATCATTTCAACCTTTTTCTTAATGTTTTTTAAGTATTAAAAAAAGAGGAATGAAATAATGCATTCAACATTTAAAGGGATTCGTTTCTATTTCACCATTTGGCAACATCTGTTATAGCTAATAAAGGACAATGAATCTGTTACCTGTATGAGACAAACAAAGATGACATATTTCAGAGGCTGGTGTTCTGTTTATTTATGTTCCGAGTTCCGAGACATTCTGTGGACATATGGCATTTTGTGCACATAACCTATCTTCCTCTATATAAATAAATAACAAAACAACTGTTATTTATGTGGCTTGTAGAGGTGGTATTGAA